GTCAAATATAGAAGACTCTTCGTCCGCTTCCATGAAAGGGTATAGATGCGGGACAAGGGAGTCGTGGCAGCCATTGTGTCTTTCATCTTGGGCGCTGTGGACTGGCACTTTATTGACGGAGGTCCGAAGTTGGGATTCCGTCAATGCATGGTGTTTCTTGTATCGCGTGGAAGAGACCAATCCAGCTATCTCTGACAAGCGAAGTCTCTGTCTCACGGGAGCCTTGCCGCGCAACATGATACCTCGGTTGGTTGATCCGAATGGAGCCAAAAAGGGGTGTGGGAAAGCTTTCTTCAAAGCTTTGATGCGAGCTTGGCAACGATATTATGTTCTATCGGAGGCGCTTCCGCGTATGCCGCCCGCGACCCTGCGTATAGGTGGCATGGAATAATTCGACAGCGTAGGTGAATCGAGCCATAGAGACTCCACCTCGAAGCGACGGAGTCCGGTCCATGAGTGGTCACATCTCAGTCTGCCTATCATTTCGGTGCTTAACAAGCAGGCGACGTCATGAAAAAACCCAGACTGCAGGTACGGTCGTGCTCTCAAAATAGCTCAGCCTGGATGAGGGAGAGAAACGTGGACGTACTTACAGTGGCAGCTGGAGTACATCCTTGCCATAGTTTTTCGGCATTCAGCCGCAGGAGGGGAGCGGCACAGACCCTGAGGAGCCTTGCTCGCGCAGTCGCATAAAAACAGAGAGGTGGACATGGAGATCGATCCCGATGTGTGGAAGTGTCTGGGGAAAATCGATGGAATTGGGAACATCACCCGCCACGTTCCAGTTCAGTTTGCCGTCAACCTTGTGCGATCCACAGTTATGTATGCTGGATCCGGCATTTGAGCACTGGAGCAAAGCCATGACTGCCACGTATGCCATTAACAGAGGGCTTCGGGTATTGTTTGATATTTTGTCCCTCCATTGTCACCGAACCAGGAAACGATTCTCCCCTGACACTATGTCCTCGGATCAACATCGCTGCTGCCACAAAGACACGACGACATGGCAGTCCAAGTCGAAAATTGAGAGCCTATGCCCAACCTCAAGCCACAAGGGGTTTTCGGCTCGTGCCTGCGAGTGGGGTGATCAATGGACCAATCTGACAATGTACTATATATACATACAGACAGGAAAGGGCGGCAGAATGACAGCCAGATTTGCTTGGCACTGTGAATGATTCTGCGGCTCGCTGCACTCTGTAAGCACGGAATGGCAGTGGACAGGTAGGAGTGACCACTCGCAGAATGGCCGTGGCCAAGTTGCAGAGGGCGATAGAGCTCATCAAGAAGGAGAAGAAGCGCTGGCTGAGACGAAGGGAGCGGGAAGGAGTTTGAGGAGACGTCGGAGAATTTTTTCTATGGTCGGGCGGAAATTCACCGAGGCTCCGACATGCCGATGGTGCTGAACTGCCTTTGACTGCCTGCGCTGGCCTGCGCTGGACTGCGTTTCGATTTGTCTTGCGCTTGTTGATCACGAACCTCGTCTCTACCAATCCATCTCTCCATCGCTGCATCCGTATCCGTCCACCCTTCCATCTACCCCATCAGACGTCAAGCCTTGGCCTTAGTCAAACTCTTTGCCTCTTGGAGTGCGTGAATGCGCCCTTATCAGATCACAACCTGTATCATCACCCTTTGCCACTCGAATTCGTCCGTGCAGCCACCAGGCAGTAGCCCACACTCCGCTTCATAAGGCGTAAACCACTCATGTTCTTACATCCTAGTCGACGCGTTCCCTCGGACTCGCCCAATCATGCGGCTCCATCTCGCCTTATTCCCGTTGCGGTAGCTGAGGAAGCCCCTTCTGAAGCGACTTCGAACTCCTCACCTTAACAGACTTGCTTCCAATCCTCGCAAATCGAAAGTTATTGCGACGCGTCATGCTCTGGCCGCTCTGCTTCGTCCTGGCCCTATCATATTTCCTCCGACGTACCTTTGTCGGAGTCTTGGGAGGTAGGAAACACCGATAGAATTCAAACGGGAAAGTATAAAGGGTACCTGGGAGAAGCATTTCACCTAACTGTGATTTCCAAGACCAAATCTCGTGGCACGCTCTGTTAACCACTTGCTTCTTTCATTGTGTTGTTTTCAAAAACAGATTCCCCCAAGAAATTTCCTTCCACTAAAGAGGATCTCACACGACTACAGACACTCGACATGGCTATGCACATGCCAACACTGTTGGCCCCCAACCTCTTCTATGTGGCCTCGTCCATCCTGATTGGCTCCACTATTGTTACATATCTCTTGAAATTCATCAAGCTCGACCTCAAACCCTTTCTTTCAACAAAGCCTGGCAAGGCCCTCGAAGTCAGCCTCCAAACCGCCTTTGAACGCTTCTTAAATGTACTATCCGTCTCAGACCCCCTCAGTCCTCCAACAAGCCCAACCACCATGTCTTCACGAGGCTACTTGGAGAGCATTCCCTACCGCCGTGGGTCTCGTCCCGAGGTCGAGGGCATTAGTAGCCCCATCCAAAAGACGCAACTTCCTCCGTGGGAAGAAAAGGACGTAGAAGACAGTCTGCGCAACCTCATCATCGATATTCCATCCCGCTACCCCCAGTCCACCTACCTAGGCCGCTCTACCTTTGAGCCCGAGTCCCCAATCTCTCTATATGCCCGCCACCGCGTCTTCGACGAGACCAAGTATTACGGAGAGATCCTCAGTGCCAATACTGAAGACGGGTTCATCCACTCGACACTCCACCCCAGTGATGTCAAGATTGTTATTGAGAAGGGCTGGGGTCAGAGACATCCTCTTTCCGGCCGCGTTGGATCTCGATTCATGCGCCTCTTCAGCGCAAATCAGCCAAGCCATGTAGAGGGTTCTCAGGTTCTGCTCTACGCACCCAGGGATCAAGATGACTTGGAGGTTATTCAGAATATCATCAACGCGGCAGTCTGGTGGGTTGGAGGTATCGACAACAGAGTCGACGCCGAGAACTTCTGAGCCATATACGACATTCCTGCTCGTGGGATTGCTATGACATATAATTTACGACGGAGTGGACAGGCGCTTGAATTCATGGTACACCAGGACAATCTTTATTCCATGGCGACGAAGGCGTCGGGCCGGGGAATGGAAGTGAACGAAACCGAACTGGTACTGAAGCCCTTTCCTCGTCCAAGAATTTCGAGGCCAAAGGAACTTTTGCAGCTCGACACGCACGCACCCATCTGTCCAGCTGTATATGAGCGACGACAACAAACCACAGATCCAAAATAGAGACAAATCTTAGAGAAATCTTACAATTGCCCCTTGCGATGCATTGAGTGGCTCACGATGAAAGAAGAGAACCTTTTCTAGCACTGTCTCCATACGTGTATGTACATGTGTACCGTTGATGCCTTGCTGCATCGAGTCGAGTACCGTAAGCACTATATTGTACTGTACTGTACCGAGCACCATGCTGTACATCTCCCTGTGCGTGCAAAACAGTCCAGAATAGTCTGTCTATAGACATGTAATGTGAAGCCGCGAGCCACGGGTCAAAGGACATAGGTAGGTACAATACCTACGAGGTACGAGGTACGAGGTACATTATATATTATAATTATTATACACACCCGTAAGTACCTAGGTACCTGAGGACCCGAATGGAATAGGACCCGCCGTACGAGGTGCATGTACATGTACATGTACGTGTACGTGTACGTGTAATACGTGTAATCCCTCGCGTCCCAGATTTAGAAGAGTGCCTGCCTGACTAACTCACCCTACCTGCCTGCTTGCCTACTTGCCCTACCTGGGTAGGTGCTTAGGTATTTGCAGTAGGTGTCTACCGTGTACACATATATGCATACACATACTTGTACTTGTACCTGCATGCCAGGCCGCGAGGCCACGAGGACACGAGGAAGCGAGGCTGCAAAAAGGAAGAAAAGAAGGAAGAACGCTCTGCCCCCTCCTTTTCCCCTGTTTTGTTTTCTAAAATATCCCTTTTGCCTCACTTTCATCTTTTGTCGTTTATCGTCTACCTTTTACCCTGTTGGTCTCTCTCTCTCTCTCTCTCTCTCTCACACACACACATAAACACTTCCCTTGCTTACTTACTTTTTTTATTTATTCACTTGCTTATATGTAATTTCCCTCTTTCCTTCCCTTTCCCCCTCCCTCCCTTCTTCGTCTCAGGCTCACCCCCGAACGCGACAGGGGACGCTCCTCACCTACATCCTGTCCGGGCCGTCTGACTCGACAGGGATAGGTTGCGCTCGGCGATGAAAAAGTAGCGAGGCCGTTGGGATCTTTTTTGGGAAGATGGGATGGGATGGGATGGGATGATTTCTTTGTTGTCCGTACGGCAAGAGAATGAAGAGGGAGGGACATATGGACAAGTAAACAAGTGCCTTGTAAGTACGGTATACCTGGTAAATATGTAAATAGTCCGTTCTGCCAGGGTCCAGACCAGCACGGCCTGTGTGCTATATGGAGCTGTCAGGTTCATCCTGGAGTCGAGTTGCTGTCATGTCGCTGCAATCTGCCATGTCATTCCGTATGCTTCCACTGGTACCGATCGGTGAGTTGTACCAACCTCGCTGCAGTGTCTGTAGATCGCCATATCAAATACGCACAGCACATAAAGTCCGTGACCAACCCATTTCGCAAAAGAGCATCCGTCCCGTCCTGTCCCGTCACATGCCTGACCCTGTCACCGTTTCACATTGTTCCCATGTGCTAGCAGAGACTGGATCTCGCCGCTCGCTCAGTAGTACGTGGCATATTTGGAGGTGCCGTTCAGGACCTGGACGAAATTCTGCGCGATAATCCGGTCGGTTTGCTCGCTTGAGTTTAAAAAGTGCACGAGTTAGTCTTCCTCTACCAAAAGGGGACATCAAGCTTGGTAGTTAACTCCTCTCGAATTGCTCGCGCTCACATTCACATTCACATTCACAATGCCAGCCACTTACAACATGTTCCTCGAAAGAGCGGGGGAAAGTGAGAGGACGATCAGAGATATGAGATGGAAAATTGGAGATGGATAGATAAGGGAGAATGGCTCACCTGGGATGCAGCTCGTCAAACCACAGATATCCGTCCGGATTCGTGCCATTCTGCCTTTGCACACACGTCTTCTGGTCCACGGTACAGTGGTTCTCGTAGCCCCAGACGCTCTCGCTGCCCTTGGCCACACCGGTCCCGTTCAGATACTGGGTCGGGGAGTTGTAGATGTCCGTGATGAGCGCGTGGGTGTCGAAGAGGGCGAAATGGGCACCCGGGTAGCGCTTCGCCACCAGGAGCTCGTAGGGGGTCTGGTACTTGAAGACGTTGTTGACCGTCGTGGTGAACTGCCGCATCGTGTACGCGATCTCGGTGTGGTTGGCCGGCTTGTTCGCCCAGTACTGGTTGGCGCCGACGCCGTGGAGCGTGTCGTTGGCGTACAAGGGCGCCAGGTCGAGGGGCGCCGTGTTCATGAGCACAAAGTGCCGGGCGCCGCTGGCGTAGAGCTTGTCGAACACGCTGTAGATGCACGATGTGTAGTCCGAGAGCACCTTGCCGGGGACTTGCGAGTCGGTGAGGAACGCCCACACGCCGAGGTCGTTGGTGCCGATCCACAGCGCGTAAACGGCGTCCTGAGCTGTCAAGTTGGGCGAAAAGAGCTGCACGGCGGGCGTGGAGTTGACTCGCGTCGCTGGGATGTCGGCGATGAAGGCCGGGATCTCGTACTCCAAGACCGAAGGGAAAGGCGCATTGATTGCAGGGAGCCACCTAAATAGGAGTATCTGGTCAACGTACCGCCTGACAACGCACACCACTCTTTCAGTCCAAACACGAACCTTGGCGTGATGTCGTTGGAGCACACGGCGCCCGAGACGGCGTAGTCATAGAGCGTCATATGAGGAGTCCACTGGCCCTGCACTGTCGCTCCAGTGTACTGGACGACGTATCTGGGCCAAGTTCTGCCGCCGCTGGGGGCGCTAAATGTCTCTGGGAGCAAAGTGCCGACAGGCGGGGCAGAGCCATTGTGATTGATGAACCATCCCAGGCGAGATTCATCTGTATAACTGTCGCCAAAGGTGATGAGAGAGTTGAAGTTTTGAAGCGACCATGGTTTGTTGCTGCTCTGGCGGGGAACAGCTATGCTGGTGGTCGACGTGACCAGCAGAGACACTCCAAGGGCGAGAAACCCTGCAGGAGAGTAGAAGAGCTTCATTCTGGAAGTACACTCCACCTTGGATCAGTAGTGAATTTCCCCTTGACACATTTGGCAGGGTAGAAATCGCTGCCGGAGAAGGGCTTTTTATACCCATCTTATCCCCCTCTTTTAAAGAACTGCATCTAGCTCACTCTGGCTTCGACCTGGGTCAACGTCACGGAAAAATTTCACAAAATGCTCCATTTCCAACGCGGAGGATTGTCGGTAGGACAGGTGATCCGGGAACACAGAAAGGTGCATCGTCGTCCAATGACGATAGATGGTGGACACAAACACCAGGGTGGCGGCGGCGCGGTTAAAGGGTAGTGAGGAGGTTTGGAGGAGATGGGAAAGCTTGATTCCACGCGTCATTGACGTTGGAGCCTCGACAGCATTGGATGCTGATGTTGACGCCTTGCTGGACGGGGTGAGTCGAGGTGGTCGAGTTGTGCCGGAAATCAGCCTGAAAGGATGTTCGCCTCATCCCCCGCAGTTGTTGTGGGCAAGTGGAGGTGCGGAGGATTCCAAAACAGGGTCGGACTCGTGATCCTCCTCTGGTCGTTCCCACCAAATACAGATCAACGGTAAAAGGAGATTCAATCTCTTGAACTTTGGTGGAAGAGATGGACTTGAATCTAAACCAACAAGGCGCAGGCTTGGAGGGAAACGAGGCTGTCAGCCTTGCGGTGTCTTGGCATTCCCACCCCTATCGAGCCCCCTAACCTTGAAATCATGAGTAACGAGACAAACAGAGAAGCGCCCGAGGGTCAGGGAGCGGTATTTATTGTCTGTCGAAAAACTGATCCAGAGCAAAAAAGTGATGCTCACTGCAGGGAATCCGAGCCTGGTCAATAACCGCCACTCCATATCGCCTTTACTTATCTGGTAAATGAGAATCCGCCCCTTGATGCTTCACTTCTCCTCAGCCAACTTCCGGGCTTGGGCAGCCGTGATACGCTCTCCCGTCCTGTCATAGTGCTTCGAGGCCAGAATCTGCCATTTTTTCTTGTCGTAGTTGTCGGCCCATGCTTTCAGACTGTGCGGTGACGAGCCAGGTTTCTTCGCTTTCTCGTCCGCCTTTGTCTCATCATCCTGGCTGCAATTAGTGCCGGGGGTCGGGAAACAGTATTTGTTTGCCTGAGCATACCTTCTTGTCAGACTCGGTGCAGTCTTGTTTCTGCTCCTCTGCCTTCTTTTCCTCTTCTTCCTTCTTGGCTTTGGCAGCCTCCCTTTCCGCTCTCCTCCTCAAGCCTTCCTCGCGGTTCCGCTTGGCTTTCTCCTCTTTGTCTGGAGCCTTTTCCTTCTTGCCTTCGCTCGAGGTATTCTTGTCGTCCGCTTCGGGTCGGTGGCTGATATGTTTCCAGCGTGCCTTGAGCTCACCCACGTTCTTGAAGTTGGTGGTCACGGCGAGGATCTCCTTCCACTGCGCTTGCGGATTCTCGCCTTTCATGCGTAGCAAGATCCGGTCGTCCTCGGTAAGATCAGAGTCATCCTTCTTGTCTTTTGATGATGTGTCAACATTGCCGCTTTTGCCGTTGTTGTCCGTGTCTTTGGCATCTTTCTCTCCTTCACACTTGCTGTCCTCCTTTCCCCTGTCCTTGACGTGAGCCTTGCCGCAGCATGAACACTAAACCAATAATCAGTATCTCCTGCTCGATGTAGAGCCCATTCAAGATGTAGAATGTGAGGTCCTTTGTAGCTGGGACCTTTACCGTTTTTGGTTTTCTCGGCTTCGGATCGGGGACGCCCTTCATGGCGTCCCAGATGGACATTTTGATTGGCACTTGCCTGCCATCAGGCTTGGTGTACCACACTGTGAAAGACATTGTGACAACTAACGAGACACTTCCCGAGTCGAAACGTGAGTGTGGAGTAGCCTAGATGTGCGATAGGTGACAGAACTGAAAAGATAACAGAGGCGTTGAATGAGGAAAACACGGGGTCGTGTAATGCAAAAGTTTACTTGCAGCCTCAGAATATTGTCACATGTGTCTGGCAGATCCATCCGAGTGAAGATGGTGTCACTTTGCTGGTTGTGTTATGCGGGAGGCATGTGGTGATCAGCCAGCACACATAGCCAGTAGGAAGTGCCAGACGACCGCCAAGCTACGTTGGCCTTCATGTCATCGGTTGGATGACAGTTGGAAAAGTAAGAATCTCTTACCCATTGGGGGGATGAGGAAAGGGTGAGGCACAGCTCGGAACTTTTCGTCAAGATCCGGCGAAGTCGGCCACGTCCTGACGCCTGTAGAGTTCGGCGCATTCAAGGGCTGTCTTCCCGCAAGAATTCAGGATATCTAAATCGGCGCCTTTTTCCAATAGATATCGGACGACGTCCAGATACCCTTGCCTAGCTGCGGTATGAAGGGGGCTGCCGAGGCCGAATGGATACTGTAGTTAGTTGAAGGTACGTCGTTCTGATACATAACCTCGTTGATAGGCGCGCCCTTGTCGACGAGATAAGCCACGACCTCGACACTATCTGGTAGTTCACGCCCAGCGGCATGGTGAATTAATTGTCCTTTATGGATCGAGCCACCATGGGCGAAGAGGGTCTCGATAATATCGAATGACGCAGACTGGACGGCATAAGACAGTGCGGTTATGTCCGACACATATTCAGCATTGGGATCTGCGCCCTGAGAGAGAAACCAAGTAAACTAAGTCTACATTCTCAAAGGTCAAACTGGCCGTTTTTAGAAGTATGACTTGATCTCAAATGTCGGCGGAGTTGACCATTTCAACTGTTCGTTGATATCCCATCCATGCCTGAGGAATAATTCGAGCAGAGCCTGGTTATTATTATCTGCGGCAATTTTAGCAAGGAATCACTTGGGTAAGAGCCTTGGTTTAGAAGATATTTGGTAGAAGCCCTTTGACGATTCCGAACTGCATTGAACACAATACTCGCTAAGTGTGAAATCCAGTAGTCACCGAAAGGGGTACCGCGTAACTGATCGAATATGCGCTGCACTGTAGATCGATCTCCTTCTCTCGCCGCCTGTTCCATATCATTGAGGAGATTACGATCGGGAGGTGATGGGATGGATAGGCTTCACCACCTCCTTCTCTCCTAGACCAGCGGTGAAGTCAAAGACGTCCTCGAGTTTGTAGGGTAGAGACTTTTCCCAATCCTCGATCTCTTTCGGATTTGGAGCATACACCAGTACCGGATTCTGGACCCGGTCCCAGTTAGCCAGGAGTTCGTTGAAGCGCCGATCCATGATGAAGCCTCTAGCGATATGTAGTTGGATGAGGTTAGTGTTGGGTTTTTCCACTGGGCAACTATGCCGTTCACTCCGCCTCAATCTTTGTATGACAGCACCTCCACAACGCAGATTTGAGCACAGTTGCTTGTATGGGTATGAGTGGGTGAGATGGGGCCAAGACAAAGCGCTGATATAAGCTAACATTGGTCTAGCTATATTTGTTTAGCGTCGGACGGCCCGCCTGCTAGGAGGCTCAAAAAGATACTCGTTTTGTCTCTTGGCCGTTATAACCATAAGGCTCGTGCCGCCCTCTTTGTGAGCGCAGACCCCAGGACGACCACTGCATCACCTGTTACCCGTCGCAGGAGGCCACCCTGATCCTCTTGGAATTCTTAACATCGAATCACTCGGGAGGAAAGTGATCGAATATGAGATATGAAGGCCACATTATATCTTGTTGGGCGGTTAGATAAGGCGTCAGGTAGTACAGGCAACTGCTCCGAACAACGCCTGCCACTGTGGCAGCCAAGACATAGTTGTATCCAGTACCTTCGACTCCTACTACTTCATCATCCTTGTACGTATTGAGCATTGTGCCATCTTCAGACTCTCCATCTAGAAGAGTTCTCTGCTCAATTGAAAACCCGCAGCTCGTGGCAACCACTGTCATTGGTGACCATTCGGCGGAAACCCCGAACCATGGCGCCGACCATCTACCAGCATGCTCAAACCAACGACCGCACCATCTATGTCCCCATGAACCGAGTGGATATTGCATTCTGGTCACGAACCGACTATCTTTACACTGATAGCCTCAACGGATGCACTGCCGTCATCATCATCTCCCCGCACGCTGGCATTCTCGCACATATTGCGCCAAGACCATCAGGCGCCGAGCTCAATCGCGTCAACGCTGAAGATGGCGATCGAAATCTCCGCGAGAAGATGCAACAGGTGATTGATCTTTACAACGCGAATAGGTACTACTTTCAGGATGCGAGGACTCGTGTCGTCGTGGCCGTCTACCGGTATTCTATTGCATTACCAACCACAGTCAATACGATAGACGCCATCCTGAACCATCTCAGACTTCCGATCAGAACCAACCACTACGATGTCCTAGAACCTAACTCGCAGCGTCCCTTTGGTCACACATATATTGTTATCGCTTCTCGAGGCTCTGGATATTGGCCCACACTGTATGTCAACGAGCGGATGGTTGAATGCCTCTGAGCCAGTCGAAGAGGCAAGGAAGAGCTTGGTTGAATCATAGCCGACAGAATGGAGTGCAACTCTTGGTTCCGGTCGACCGACGCCGTGCAAAGACGTTTCGATCTGCAGGTGTACCACAATACACCACTCCGCGATCCGTCGGATAAGCGGACGTTTGAGCTGCAGCGCCCTACTTCAACGCCAACCGACTGTATCCACATCACCCTGACATCGAGGATACTCGGCGATACAGAAAAAATCCACCTGTGTGCCTGCTTATACAGCGCGGTCTCTCATGCTTTGGAGGGTCCAGCACCAATCGAGCCGACTTGGCGCAAGGGCAGCACTTCCTTTACTTACGAAGACTGGAGAAAGTTCATTGCCCGAGCGGGGTGGCATGCATCATACCTTACGCGCTCTGTCGGTGCGTCTCCTGAAATGTGGATTAGTTTTGAAAAGATTCTGTCCCTCTGAAGCTTACTACCTGTGCAGTCTCTGTGGCGCAAAGTACACAATATGCAGCGTGAAAAGGGTTCGAGGGACGCCTCTGCCTGGAGAGAGCCATCGGAAAGCGAGTGCTTGAAAAAGAGTGCAGGGACAACCGGTCCACCGCTGAAGTTGGTGAGACTACCCAGAATTTCATCGACACGAAATTCTCCGGCGCAACAGATCTAAGAGACAAAGTCTATGCGCTGTTAAAGAAGGAGAGAGGCGCACACAGAGAGAGAGAGAGAGAGAGAGAGAGAGCCTAAACAGGTGGTAGTGGTGGCGCGCCAGATACTGCACAAAAAGAATACAGGCCGAGTTCCTCTGGATCACCCGCATCCACAGGGCCACATCAACTAGCTACAACGTTTTATTTGCTGCGTAACATCGATGGCCAACTTTATTGCACACCCGACACCAGTTACCTGCCGGCTGCTACCTACCGGCTACCGGCCAGCATGCATTATTCCACAGTGATGCCATCAGACTCTGGCGGTCCCTTGTACGCCTTGCGGGCATAGATAAAGTACCAGACGGCAGAGATGAACATGAAGCCGACAAAGACGACGCTGGCATAGTTCATGGTCACGACCGTGACGGGCAGCGCCGAGGGCATGCTGAACAAGACGACCTCAAAGCTGATCCAGCACAAGGCCACGCCGTTCGCGATTGGGCCGATGATGCGCCCACAGTTCCACCGCGCCGTCGACACTTCGCGGCGCCGGTGCAGCACGCTGATGGTGATGGGGATTGCGTATGACACGGCCAGCCCAATGACGCCGACCGACACAAAGGCCAAAAAGGCCGATGATGACCCAAGATAGATCAGACCGAGCAGCATCTGCACCACGGTGGTGAGCATCAATGCGTACACGGGCACGCCGAGTCCACCGTGGACTTTGGACCAGACCCGAGACAGTGGGATGGCATCATCCCGGGCAAACGCCCACGTACATCGCGACGCCGCCGTGGTGATGCTGATGCTGCAGAACAATGTGATCATCAGGACGAGGAACTAGATACCGAGTTAGCGACAGCGAAGGTGAAACATGACGAGAGTCTCATCCTGAAAGAGGATCAAGGAACTTACAATGAGGCCGAGTCCACCTCCCGGTGTCCCCATGACCGTGCTGAAGATGTATGGGAGCGCCTGGCCGTATGGCGCTGCAATGACATCTTCCAACGGAGGCAGGGTGAAGCAGATGGGCAGAATGAAGAATAAGCCGGCGAAGCCACCCACGGGCACACAGAGACTGATGGCTGTCGGAACCTTGACGGTAGGATTTGCGCACTCTTCTGCCATGGCTGAGATCATCCCGATAGCCGAGAATGTGTATGCTGCAGGCAACAGACCGATGAAAAAGGTGAAGCCTCCCCAGCCGGAGAAAGACTTGTCGTAATGGCCGAGCGCGTAGCTTGCGCTGTGTCTCCCGACATCTGCCTTGACCGAGAGTGCGATGAGGATGATCAGGATGCTCACAGCTGTCCATGCAGCGCAGATGGTGTCGACAATGGGCAGGAAGCGGTTCGCAAAGGTGCAGATGAACAGCGTCATCAAGCAGATGGCGTAGAAAATCAAGAGCAATTGCCAGTCCTTTGCCACCCAGTCGGGATGATACATGGCCACGCTCGCCACAATGAGCGACGCGAATCCAAAATTGACCGAGAGGGCTAGTTATCTCCAGTCAGCTCTTCGACTCAGGCAGATTGTTCAAGAAACCCAAAGTTCTAATATCGTGGACTTTCAACTTGGTCGAGATGCACATTCACTGTCTCCTGCACGGCGATGGGAATGTGCGATGCTTTCAACGAAGTACCAACTAGGCGCCTGAGAATCCCCAGCCCATAGGAGACATTCTTGGAACGCGCGCACTCGCAGCTCTCCAACTGCCGCACCTCCTCCTCCCCCCTCCCCGTCCGTTGATAGAGGAAAACCAAGGAATTGAAACAAGACAACGGCATCGAGAGAAAGGCCAAATACTTACTGATTGTCCAGTTGCCGATCAGCCACGTCCACCCCGTGATGAACGACAGAGTCGTCTTGCCCCTACTGGCCAGTTGAAAAGACCAATAGTACGGTCCAGCCGAAGTGGGATATCGCGACGCCAGCTCGCCCAAAGAGAGAGCAATGCATTCGTCCAGCACGAGAACGACGATCCAGCCGACGAAGATTGCCAGCGGGCCACCGCCGTAGATTGCTGAAATGAACGGACCACCTTCGCCGTATGGGATGGCAGCAATGGCCAAAGACTGAAACAACAGCGTAGCCATTGATCGATTGCGGTTCAGTTCTGGCTTGTAGCCCAGTCGGTCCAGCACAGTGATGTCGTCGATGCTGCCGGCTCGAAGAGAGTTCTTTCTCCCATCGATGACAGGCACCTCCATCTCTGGAGCGGCCTTTTCCGTGTCGACAGTCATGGTGGCGGTGATGATCTGGAGGAGAGAAGGGCTCTGTCCGAGGACACACCGGAATACTTGGAGAGAGAAAGGACACGAGGAGGATGGAGTTTATGGATTGACAGTTTTTGTCGAGGCAAGGGCGAGCCGGGCCCCCTCTTATTGCGCACGTCCACCCTCCATAGGGCGAAGATGCTGTTGTCTCGATCCAATAAAGGAGCTTGCTAGTCTCTGGAGGAGGCGGAGGCGAGACTCACGAACTGATTCCCGAAATCATGATCCTAGAATAATATGTGAGGGGGCGTATGGTGAGCATGCAACAACAACAACTGATAGTAGCGCGATAAAGCATTCGGTTTGATATGGGCGACTGGGAAACATACCCTCTTTGGGCTTAGACGGGGTGGATGCTTGATTACCAGCCTTCCTCCCCCTTGGTGTCCGTTGACTCGATGGTCCCCCCAGACTAAGCTCTTATCAGCACCCAATCATTGCTGGGGAAGAGTTGCTTAGCCCCCCCCCTCCCTCCCCTCCCTTGGGATAATAGCTATCTGGGAATCCGGTTTGGTGAGAAGCCTGACAACACGACAAGTGTCATTGCTCTCGAGAGGGAGTGGAGGAAGGGGGGGGGGGGTGTCCGCGGCTCCTCGTACTGAGTAGTCCTTCCTAAATTTCCTGGAGAAACCCCGTCGGCCATGGAACAATGACACCAAGGACATTTGTCCCGCTAGTGCAGAGGCGCCGTCGCTGTGACCCCAAAAAACCATGTGTCACGTCCCAAAAGATGCAGGTACCCCAGGCAAGGGGTATTGTATGTAGGTAGACTAGGCACGACCTAGTCGGTAAAGCACCGACGGGGCAATTCTTGGATCTCGGAAAACTGTGGAGAAGGGAAGGCGACAGCGAGGTAGAGCCCTAGC